AGACCAGGTCAGATAAATCAGCGGGCTTGAAAAGTGCTGGCTAACCCACACCTAGCAGAGTTCCCCCCCGCCCCCGGGGACAGGGTAACAGATGGCCTAAGCTCCGTGCACTGGGAGAGCCTGGGGCGCCCCTGAGCTCCCAGACCCACTGTCTTCAGCTGTCTCGGTGCACGGCTTCTCCCTGCAGCCCACACGGACTCCACGCGCCCAGGTGGGGGTTCAAATCCTAGCGCTGCCCCGTCATTGCTGGGTAACACAGGGCCAGGCAGCATCCTGGTGAAGCCGGTCGCGAAGAGGAGCAGGAGGAGGTGGGAGGCCGAGCGTGGCACAGTGCCCCATCCCCAGCTCCTGACCCTGCAGGTGAGGGACACGGTGCAGAGGGGTGGAGCCTCTCTGGGGGAGGGGCTAGGATGGGGCGGGGCTTAGCACTAGACACTGCCCTTGGTGGTCTCCCAGCTGCCTCCCCACCGTCTCACTCCAGGAGGACTTCACTCCAATTCCAGCTGCTTCCCAGGCAGGTAGCTCCATGATGCCCCCCGTCCAAACATCCTTTTCCTCGTCTGGAGCCTGGGGGAAGCTAAAAATGCATCAGCTGAGCCCCGGGAAAACAAACATTGCGCTTCCCTCGTCTTTGTATACAGGACAAGGCCAAGGCCGCAGGGTGGGCTCCTGCTGGCTGGCTATGCTGGGAGGCTGTCTGTCTGTCTGCCTGCCTCCCTGGGGCCAGGCCTCACCAAGAAAGGCTTCTCCAGCAGAACTGCATGGGGGCTCAAGGCCTTGGCCTGCCCCAGTACTGACGCAGGTGCAACACACAGCCTGCAGTAACAGCCACCTTGGTGGGGCTGGCTCACACCTGGGGAGGGTTCCCGGCAGCTCTCAACTCTTCAGATGGATTCACTCACCTGCCTCAATGAGCAGGGGGCCAACTGAGACACAAAGGTGAAGTGAGTTGTTCAAGGTCATGAGCTGGCCAGGGTGAGCTGACCTTGCCACACTAGTGGCAGAAGCGGGGTGGTTGGTGGGAGTAGGGCACAGGATTGGCCTTGGAGGAGCCAGGACTGGAGTCTAGTGAGCCTGAGCCACCCGCTGCCTCTCCCGGCAGGCGTGGGGGTCGGTGTCCATGCCCTCTTGGGGGTGTGGTGCGGGCTCAGCAGGCATCCCAGCACACAGAGGGTTGGCCCTGGAGCTCCAGCCCAAGGCCTTGGTGATGTTCTCTGGCCTGGGTCCCGGCCGCAGGCCCCCATCTCAGGAAGGAAGGCAGATGGTCTTTCAGACAACATTTTATTGAGTTCATGTATATGGAAGGTGCAGGGGATGCCCTCAGCCCCCGTTCACTCCCCCAGCGCCCATGCCAGCAGCAGCCATGCCTCATTCAGGTGACCCGGGCTTCATCAGGGTCACACCGCAGGTGGCAGGGCCCCAAGTGCTGGCGCCACCGCCTGGCACCTCCCAGGGTGCATGTTACGGAAGGTGAGCGGGGAACTCAAATCGGCACTGGGATATGGGCTGTGGGTCTTATAGGCATGGACTCAACCACTGCCCGTTCCAGGAAGGTGCTTTTCATGGAAGACACACACACACACTTCCATTTGCTAGTTCACTGCCCCAAATGACTGTAACATTCACATTCAGGGCTGGGTCAGCCTGAAGCCAGTCTTATCAGAATTCAGAAGGCCTCGGGCAGGCCCCATCCCAGCTATAAGACCACCAATCTTCCTGAAATGGGCCAGGGTGAGGTGTGGGGTCTGGCTCCCCGCACCCTTGCCTCCCAGCCACCACTGGTTCCTGGTCCTATTAAAGCCCCTGATTGGCCCTGTCCTCCCACTGCCCACCTTTTCATGAGAGCCTGGCAACTTGGTACCCACCTGGACTCCCAGGCTGACATGGGCATGACACCGACTCACAGGTTCGTCCCTCCAGGAGACATTTTTGAGCGACGACTGAATGCTGGGAGTCAGGGGGGGGGGTGGGGAGGCCTTTGCTCACCCTGAACTCAGCCTCGTACCAGACACAAGGTCCTGTCAGGGGGGCCCAGGACCTGGAAACCCCCAGAGCAGGCACCAAGCCTAGAGAACTTCCTGGAGGAGGCCCCATTCAGCTGAGCCTGATAGGAGGAAGGGGAGGTGTTCCTTTAGAGAACTCCTACCAAGACTGGGTGCGGGAAAGGACTTCTCAGGATGGCATCCGAGACCAGGCACATCCGGATCACTGCGCTTGGCGTCTGTACCGCAGGGTGGCGTGACACAGGCTCTGGCACACAGCAGGTATTCAAAGGTTCTTCCCTCCCATCCCCCCTCCCCCGGGGTGGACCTCCACCCTCAAGGCTCGCGATGGGACTCCTGCCTGGCTAGTGTCTTCACATGGACGCTCTCGGTTGGGTGGGTGCTCAAACAAGCCTTGTGTCCTTGCGCTCATCCTTGGCATCACCTCCCGGGCAACAACACAGCACTTGTACTCTTGGGTTCATGTCCAGGTTCTTCCATCAACCGGCTGGCTGACCTTGACCAAGCTGCTTGGGCCCTCTGTGCCTCCGTTGCAAACTGATAAGCCAGTGGTACCCCAAGAGGCTTTCAGCCCCTCTCATGTCACACACAGGTGGGGACACAGAAGGTCAAGGTCACCCAGCTGTTTGGTGAAACAGGGATTTGTGTTTCCCTTCTCCCAACACCTTCCTCATCCTCCTGCCCTTCCCCCCCAACTGCTGACGCCCCCCGTCTGTCAGTGCTGGAGGCTATGTGAAGGCTCTCCAGCTGCCTGGCTCGCTTGTCTGGCCCCTGGAGGACACACGCGAGCTGTGCTGACAGAGCCATGCCCTTGCTTCCTGCTCAGGGCTCCTGCACGCTTGACCTCATGGAGCCACCCAACCCCGGGGCGGGGTTGGGAAACGATTTCTGGATGGATGCATACAGAGGGGTGGCAAACTGCACATGTGGACTCCAGCACGCAGGGACCCAATCCTTCCAGCCCTGCCTGGCCGTCCTGTGTCCCCCTGTCGTTCCTGCTATGACATAGAGGAGGAGATGGGGTCCTGGTGGGCAGGTAGCCATGCCAGGAGGCAACCTGCCTCTGGGGCTGCAAGTGAAGACTTGCCCTCCTCTGCCCCACCCTCGTCTGGGTCCCAGAAGACAGCTCATGGAGAACCAGGAGCTGGCTGGCACCCCCTTAGGGCACGTCTGAGTGCGCTGAGCTAAAGGTGCCCTCAAGTTGGGAGGGCAGCGCTGCAGCTGGCTGGCCTGCGGGTCTCGTGGTGGGTGCTGGTGTGCTTGAATGCGGGTGACTCTGTGACAGTGTGACTGCTAGAGGCAGACATAGCAGCTCCCTGAGCTGGGGGCGGGAGGCGTTAACTGTGTGAATGCTGGTGTGGGTGCGTGGGCCCCTGGGCCAGGCCCCCCCGGGGGTGGGGGTGCAGGCAGAGGGAGGGTAGTAAACAGAAGGCTTCGGATGGCAGCCCTGCAGGACGCTGCTGGCTTGCGGGGGTTCGTGTGACTTTGCAGTTCAACACTGCCTGCTGCGTGCCAGGCAACCAGTCAGGAGGAGGGAAGAGGGCTCCAGCGTGCAGGCTGCCGGCTCCGGAGTGTTCACCTTGAGGCTCGCACCAGAGAGCCTGTCCCACTCAGCTATGAGGCTGGATGGAGGAGCACAGGAGGAAAGTGACTTGTCCAAGGTGACCCAGTGCGGGATTCAGGGCAGGGTCATGCAGGCTGCAGAGCCGGAGTCTGGGAGCCGCCAGCACGCCTGCGTCAGCGCGCAAATATCTGGTCCTGAAGCAGGGGTTCCGGCTCCTGGTCTAGGCCCTGGAGACATCCTTACCCTCCCCCCCCACACACACACAACGGCCACATGGGCTCCGAACCTGTCCTTGGTCTTGGTGCTGAGGGGCGGGGCGGGCCTTCGGCCTCCCCTAGTTCTTATCCTGCTGCCAGATTCCCGAGCGGAGGGGCTCCCCAACTCCCAGAGACCCCGGCCAGGCCCGCCCCGCCCCAGGCCCTCCAGAGCTCCCCCCACCCCCTCTCCGCGCTGACTCCGGGCCAGAAGAGGAAAGGCAGTCTCCACCCACCTCTCCGCACTCTTCTTTATAAAGGCCGGAACAGCTGAAAGGGTGGCAACTTCTCCTACAGCAGCCGGGAGCGGCCCGCCTGCCTCCTGGAGCGAGCCCGCAGCCTCCCCCGCCGCCTCCCCGAGGCCGCCCCCTCCGGCCGCCAGCGCCCATCTTTCATCCCCGGGGTAGAAATTTTGCGCACACACAGACACACGCGCGCAAAAAAAGGGGAGGAAAAAAAAAAAAACCACAGCTAATCTTCCAGCCTAGTGGCAAGAGAAACCGGAGCAGCCGCAGCGCGCAGCCCGCAGAGGACGCTCAGAGCCCGGAGCCAGCGGGCAGACGGACCCACGACTCGCGCCGCGTCCACCTGTCGGCTGGGCCGGGCCGAGCGCGCAGCGGGCACGCCGCGCGCGCCGCTGCAGCCGTGCCCGACACCCGGGCCCTGCGCCAGAGCGCACAAGCTCCCGCCTCCCCCCCACACCCGGCCCGGGCGGGAGTTTGCACCTCTCCCTGCTAGGGTGTTCGGGCCGCCGCTGCAAAGCCAACTTTGGAAAAAGTTTTTTCGGGGAGCCCTGGGCTTGGAGGTGCCAGGCCTTGCGCTTTCCGATCCAGAGGGACTTCTCCAGAAAATGTTGCAAAAAAGCTAAGCCGGCGGGAGGAGAACGCCTTTTAGCCGGCGAGTGAAGACGAACCATCCAGTGCCGCGTTCCTGTTCCTCTCGGAGGTTGGAGTCCCCTGGGCGCCCCCACACGGCTAGACGCCTCGGCTGGTTCGCGACGCAGCCCCCCGGCCGTTGGATGCTCGCGCGGGCTCGGGATCCGCCCAGGTAGCGGCTTCGGACGTTGGTCCAGCGCCCAGGTCCTCCCCAGCCCCCCAGCGACGGAGCCGGGGCCGGGGGCGGCGGCGGCGCCCGGGGGCCATGCGGGTGAGCGGCGGCGGCGGCGGCTGCAGCGGCGTGAGCGCCTGATCGCCGCGGCCGGGAGCCGAGCCCACCCCCCTCCCCAGCCCCCAACCCTGGCCGCGGGGGCGGCGCACTCCATCTACGCGTCCGGGGCCCCGCGGGGCCGGGCCCGGAGTCGGCATGAATCGCTGCTGGGCGCTCTTTCTCTCTCTCTGCTGCTACCTGCGTCTGGTCAGCGCCGAGGTGAGTTGCGACGGCTGCTGCGGCTGCCCGTCTCCCGGCCTCGCCTTCACCCCCATTCCCGCCCGCCCCTCCCCTTCCCTTCCCGCAGTGAACTTTGGACCCTGGCGGCGCGAGCCGGGTGACCTCGAGGGCTGGAACTGGAGGGTGGGGGAGATCTGGAGGTGCCGGGCTCCGAGACAGGGGCGGTCTCTTTCCAACAGGCTTGGACCTCAAGCCCCTAAGTGCCTGGGGACGGGCGTATGTGCCCCTGTCCCCTCCCCCACTCCGCCCCTAGGATCCCGAGTGGGAACCCCTTCCCGCGAAAGGGGGTCAGGGGAGACGGCTGGGGTGGTGCCCAGGGTGTGGAAGGCAGGGCGTCCTTCCCGACCCACTTGGGCTCCAACCTCAGGCTTTGCCTCGGATCGGGATCCGGCTGACCCAGGAGGGGCGCGTCCCCACAGCCCTTTGGGGTGGGTTCTGGTTCCGCCCTGGCTTCAGCGCCCTGTCGCCCTGTCGGGGTGGGCGCCCTCTGGCAGGCTCAGGGCACGTCTTGTCCCCAGAGCTGGGTCCAGGAGCGGGTCGTGTCTTGGATGAGGGGAGAACCCCAAGAGACAGACAGACAGACAGACACGAGGAGGTTTCGGGCACTTGGGTACAGGACCACGGGGCCGGGGAAGGAAGGGGACGCTTAAGGAATGCAGCCCCGGGGCAGTGCGCTCCCGAGGCCCCGCCATACCTGCGCGCGCGCCCTCTGCCAGAGGAGGAAGCACCCTCTCCCCCGCAGGCAGGGTGCGGAGCGCGCCGCCTTGCAAACGCCTGGCTGCAGAGGAGGGGGTGTACAGACGGCGGCGCGGGCGCTCGGTCGGATCCTCCCCCACCCTACCCCCGCCCCGGGCTCACGTAGCCGTGAGTTGGCAAGTCTGCCAGGAATCCAGGTGGGCAAGGGGGCGGGGCAGGCAGAAGACTCGAGGTGGAGGGGCTGCGAGGGCCGCGCGCGGCCGCCGGGGACCCCGTCCCGCCTCCGCACCTCGCCGGCTCCTGCGGAGGGCCGGCCCCGTGGGCGAGCGGAGCGGCGAAGGGGTTAAGGCGCAGCGCTCCGAGGCCGCGGCCGGGCCTTGGGCCGCCGCCAGCTCAGGTTGTTTTGACCACGGAGGAGCCGTCGCCGTCTCCTTTTGTTCTCGGGGCTCCTCGAGGGCCGCCGGCCGGCCGCCCGGGGGGCCCCGCCCTTCCGCGGCCACCTCCTGCGGCCCGCACCCGGGAAGGAGGACGCGCGGGGATTCGGTCTGGCCGCTGGCAGGCCCCTCCCGACCCCGCCTCCCCGTCTCTCCCGCAGCCCCCCGGGCCGCGGCCAGCTGCTGGGGAGAGGAGGGGGCGCCGGCCGGCCCCAGCTGCCGACTCCATTCCCGCCGTGGGACATGGGGGCTGGGCCCGGTGCCAGGGCGTCCTGGGAACGGCGGCGCCCCGCGGCTGCTCGCCGCAGCCCACCCCACCCGGCCCCCCAACTCGCTCACTCACCCCACGCATGCACACTCCTGGCCGGAGGCGATGCTGCGCTCCGGCAGGCGGGCGCGCAGAGCGACGGGCACGCACTACCGCGGCCAGGTCGCGCGCCCGCCGCCGCCACGCCCGTGCACATGCGGGCCTCACACGCGCGCGCACCGCACCCAAACGCACGCACGGCCCCGGCACGCGCGACTCCAGCACACGTGCGCGCACACCCACGCACGTACACAGGCACGCACGGCCCCCGTACACCCAGCGCCAGGCCCGCCCTGCGCAACAGGTGGGCTTCCCGTGCACCGCCTTGCAGCCAGCCGCAGCTCCCCAGCACGGGTTTTTGAAGGTTGTTTTGGGGCTTTTTTGCCTGTTCAAACCACTTGACACCCGCCCGCCCCAAAACAGAAGTCGGGATGAATTGTTTTTCCCTTACCATCTCTGTGCGGCCCCAAATGGCGTTACTGTGACTGAAGGTCATCCTGTCCCCAGTGTTTGTCATTTCCAGCCAGCCCTTTTTTGAGCCTCCAAGACTGCAGGGACACTGGGTCTCTCTGCGCAAGGGCTCCCACCCCGCTGTGTTGCTCTCTTTGCCCATCTGTTCCGAGAGAGGTTGCAAGCGCCCAGGCCCCGCCCAGCACCTGTTGGTCCAGGTCTGGGGGTCTGAGCTGGAGGCCACCCAAGAAACTCAGTCCTTGGTTGTGCATGATGCTTTGCAGCTCAGGAAGTTTAATAATTTCTTGCTGAACTCCAGTACGCCTCAGATGGGCTCCGAGGTGGTACTAAAACCTAGGCACATGCGGTCCAGACTGGGAAGGAGTTCTGAATGGCCAGTGCAGGGAGATCCTCAGAGGGCTTGCTGGCTGAGGTGGCCTTGGGGCTGTCCGTGACCCCAGACTGACGCTTATGTGGAGGCCTTGGGGCTGGGGTAGAGAGGGGTCCCCCACCCCCGCGGCCGTGAGGTGGTGTACAGCATCAGCTACTCTGGCTTTGGAGAAGCCCACTGTACAAGACTGTCTCCCACCTCAGCACCCTTTTGCCAGCACGTGGCGGGGAAGCCCCCAGTTCTCTGCCAGCCAGCTTCCTCCTGGTTTGCTCATGGCCTTGGGGGACTGGAGGCCAGCTGGGCTGGAGGTGGCAAGGTCAGGGTCAGATGCAGTTGGCAGGCTGTGGTGCAGGAGGCAAGAATTGTATTTAGTAGGAACAGGGAGGAGGTGTTCGCCTGGATGGGGGGCCTCTGAACAGCAATTCAGGGTCCACCCCCTTCTCCCCACCAATCTGCCCTTCCCCAATAGCTGTTTTGGGGTCACCTGGGCATTTGTGATCTGCTACCCCTGGCTGGATCGCCGACTCCTTGAGCTTGCTTCAGCCTGGTTCCAATCCTGTGCTAGTGTGGAGCTGGGGCGTGGTGCACACCCAGTAGCTATGAATGGAAAGACTGACCGAAGCTGGTTGGGCCTGGCCAGCTGGGCAGGTTACAGCCATGGCCTCCTGGAGTCCTCGCCCCCAGGGACAGCCCCATTTGGCCACACTGCTCTTGCACAGGCACCTGTCTCTCCAGGCGCCCTGTCTTGAGGCTTTCTCTCTCTTTCCCTCTGTCTCTCTCTCTCTCAGCTGGGACAGTCAGAGGGGGAAGCAGCAACGGGAAAATGAGAAGTTTGGGTCAGCTTGGAGTCCCCAGGCAGCTGGTACATTGTGGACTTGGGGGGTGGGGTGCTGTCTCCCTTGTCACTTGCTGGAGACAGTCCCCATCTTCCTGCTGTGACATTTTCTCTGCTCTCTGGCCAGAGGTGTGGAGGCCCATGGGGAGGAGAGGGAGCAGGAGGGAGGGTCCCAAGCCTGAATTGGAGAAGCGTTCTGCAAAGGCGCTGGCTTCCTGTCTCGGTTGGGCCTGAGATTGGGGCAGGCGGGCAGACAGGCAGGCATGCTGGGAAGTGTCGTCTCCTCTGCTGTCTCAGCCGGGCAACGCCCCTGGGTGCCATGCCCTAGTCTGTGTGTGCCTCTGCGGGAATGGCAGGCCAGGTGGGGAGTTGTGTGTGTATGTGTGCACTGCAGCCCAGGTGGAGGGTGGGGTGGGGCCCTTTGATCTGCCAGCCTGCTTAGAAGCAGGTAATTCACCTGGCCTCACGCTGGCTCGTGCCCTTCCTGCCTCCTGCAGCTGGCACTGGGGTGGGGTGGGGACAAGGCTGTTTGCCTTGGCTGCCCAGGCTGGCTGTGCCCCAGCTGCCTTCTTGCCACACCCTCACCCTGCCAGGAGCCTTAGATCTGTGGTGGTGACAGTGGTGGTGGTGGTGGTAGGGGTGTCCAGCCACATGCCAGGTGAACCAAGACTTGCAGGAGGGGTGTGGCTCACCCTCCTATACCCAGAAAACCCTTTGATCCCAACAGGTGCCCTACAAGTCTCCAGGGTGTGGTATCCTGGAGCTGACTGTGGGGGCTGGCTGTCCCTACCCCCTCCCTGGTCCCGGAAGGGGCCTGTCAGCCCCCACACAACCCCAGGAATTGCCACTGCGGGGCAAGGTGTCATTTCCCATGGCCCATCATCAGAGTTGATGCAGTCAGCCACTCACCCTCCCGTGGGCAGGTTGCCCTGTCTCCCCTCTGTGCCTTGTCACCCTCAGAATGTCCCGTGTTGCTGTCCTGCAGGGCGCCTGCTGAGAGGGTGGCAGTGTGACACCTGGAGCCCTTGCTGTGTGGCCACTGTTCCCACATGTGCAGTGATGCCTCGTGAGGCATGGGTGGGGTATCAGGAACTCCGTTAAAAAAGTCCAAGGACCTGAAATTGGAGGCTCCCCTGGCCTCTGCTCCCCGGATGTGGGGTGCCAGTGGGCCACTGTCTGGCTGGCAATGTCCTTAACTCTGCCAGGAAGCCCCTCCCCCCCCCGCTCCCTCAGAAGGAGAGAGGCAATGCCGAGACACACACAGGAGTTCACCCCTGCCCCTCAAGGGATGCCTGAAGCCAGTGGCCCCCAGACCCCTGGTGGTTGGGAGAATGTGGGTGCCCTGGAGCCTAGGAGGCCCCAGCGCTGCCTCTCATCGGGCTGGGTTGGACTCTGAGACACTTGCTTGATTTTTGCTGGTCTCAGTTTCCTCATTGGGAAGATGGGAAGAATGCAGCTCCTTAGGATGGGTGGTTTGCTGACTGCTTCGGTTCAGCCTTGATTTCAATACTGGGCACATGTGAGCTGGGGCCAAGTCCATGCGACCCATCCAGATTACCTGAAGTGTGTGAGACATGGGATTTGCTCCCCAGAATTTACCGTGGACAGTTGGCTTGGAGACAGCATCCCAGGTGGAGGAGCAGGGTGGGGTGGGGCGGGCTTATACAGAGGCTACTCGGGAAGGAGTGAGAGCCCTTCCAGCGTTGTAGCAACATCTGCTGAGTGCCGACTGTATGCGTCTCCCACCTTGCAGTCTGTCTCCCAGGCTCATCCTGGCGTATGTCCTCCTGTTGTGCCCAGAGATGCCGCCTCTACTGCCTGTGGGCTTGAACCTGGGGCCATCCTGGGACTGCTGGGGTCTACCCACCCTGCCACTTGTCCAGGGCAGACGAGCTTGGTGCATCCCCCATCGCTTCTGGTGCCTGTTCTGCATGCGAGCCCCTCACCCTGACCTTCCTCTGCCCTTTCTTCCACACCACTACCCTTCTGCCTCCTCCCAGGCAGGAGTTGAGTCAATTTGCAGGTTTCTTAAGCCTCTTCAAATTACAGACAAACCAGGCCCAGAGAGGGACGGTGACCAGCCTGGGGTGCCCAGTGGCTTTCCCTGGTCTTCTGCGGACTGAGTCCTTTATCAACACTAGGGACAGTACAGGCACACGCCCTGTCCTGGGGTTGGAGCTGTGAGGTCTTGCAAATGGCAGTTGGCAGGGCTTGTAAGAGATGGGGTGTGGGAGGAAATTCAGGGTGGGGGGGTCACCTTCTCCATTTCACATTGGGGTCTGCATCATAGGAAAGACCTCTGTGACTTCTGCTATGGCAATGGCCAGAGTGGCCAGACCTGGAGCCTGAGATGCTATAACAAGTGTCCACAAGATAGGTGTTGGGGAGACACTTGTTGGGGCTGCCATGGAGCCCAAGACGCTATCTCCTACACACAGAGACCACCCCTCCCCCCCATCATGCAGCTGTGCTCGGTCATCCATCCTTGTTTGGGAACAGAGTCTGCAGGAAAACTTACACATGGAATGGCAGAGTCCAGGGTCCCCAGCAGGAAGCCGGTGCCCTCTGCAGGTCTGCTGGTGGTCTGCATGTGCACATATGGCAGGGGCGGCGTTTTCCATCCCACCTTGGTCCCTCGGTGGTGGCTGGGGGCCTGAGCTATGCTTCTCAGCCTCGTCTCTTTCTCAGGGCCTCTGACGTTGGCCCTTCAGGTCTGCTGACCCGGAGGAGGCCAGCTGCAAGCAGGGCCTGCTGAAGCATTCCCTGGGTTTCTAGTGTGTTTGGGAATGGGCCAGAGTGGCTCTAAAAATAAAGTTTGGTTGGGCAAGGGGCGTGGGGAAGCGTCCAGGTTTCCCAGCGGCATCTGAGGATTCCCTTGGTCTCCTCTTTCGTGGGAGAGCACGTGGCTGCCGGTGGCCGAGCCTGCCAGTGTCTGGGCACACCATGTGCTCGGGAGGCTGGGAGCCCAGCCTCGGCCGTTGCAATGCCCTGGGTTTGAACGCAGGGCTGCACGGCCTGCTTACTCATCTGTGAAACGGAAGGTAGCTGGGGATGCTGAGATGAGCGATAGCAGTTGCAGAGGGAGAAGTCGAGAGGAATCAGATGATCGGCCCCCATAATGTGATGGGGGAGATGGGTGCAGACAAATGGGCCGGCGTCCTGGCTTGAGGGCTGGGGAGCAGCACGCAAGCTGAGCCTCCCCAAACCTGCCTGGCTGTTTGTGGGAAACGAGGGAGCCCTGGAAGAAGTCCATGGGAGGGGAGGATGGGTGTGGTAAGGAAGCTCCCGGCCCTGCCTCCAGCTCACCCACTACACCATCTGTTTGACAGGGGGACCCCATTCCTGAGGAGTTGTATGAGATGTTGAGTGGACATTCGATTCGCTCCTTCGATGACCTCCAGCGCCTGCTGCACGGAGACCCCGGAGGTAAAGTGACCCCCAGCCCTGCACTCTGGGAGCCTTGAGGGGTGGGTGGCGTCCCCACTTCCAGGGACCCTGCAGGCAGGTGGGTTGGTACCTGTGTGGTGGGGTGTGGCTGGAGGAAAGACCATGTGGTTGCAGGCAAGGAGCAGTTGTCCAGACCAGGGTGGGGCGGAGCCAGGCCCAGCTTGGCAAGGCGGGGCCGGGTGGGGCAAGCCATCTCCCTGCCATTCTGGCCCAGGGCCCAGCCAGTGAGGTCTCCTGGGGACACCTGGCTTCGGCCAGCCTGCTGCCCTGCCTGTGCCCAGCCAATGGGCACGTGCTGAGTGGCACACACGTGGCAGGGCTGGCGGGCAAGGCTGGGGCTAGATCGCCGAGCGTTGTCGCAGAAGCAGATCCCATTCTCTCTAACCTCTGGCCTGGTCCCCGGAGCCTTGCTCAGCAGCCCCCCTGCACCCGCAGGTCCCCTTCCCTCTGGGGTTCTGTCTCTTTGTCGCTTTGTAGCCCTCGCCCAGACGCTATCTACGGGGGAACAGCTTTTCCTGCCTTTGTTTCATCTCCCAGTTGGGCCCCTGGCTGCCTCTCAGAGGCATTCCCCGGGCCCTTTCAAACTCGCCTGGGCCGGGGGGTGGTGAGGCAGGCCTACCTATTGTTCACCAGGCCCCCGCCAACGGCGCCCTGTGCCCCCACCTCATGCCCGGCTGGCCGCACAATGCAGCCACATCCAAATTTAGCCTTGCTGCTGTTTCTTTCCAAGGCCCCTCCACGCCCCTGGTGGGGTTGGGATCCTGCAGCCGAGGTCTTCAATAGCCAGCCTGTTTCAAGGCAATCACGTGGCTATTTTTTCCTAATCAACTTAACCTTTCCACAAAGCACGTCTTTTGTCCAACTCTCCCCCCCCATGTAGTTCCCCCCGAATGCCCCCCACCAGGCACATTCCAGAGAGGGACAGACAGACACACTGGCTGGCGTGCCGGCTGTGGCCAAACGGAAATGAACAGTCACCAGCCTCCCGCAGGACAGTCCCCTCCGGTTCCTCGGTGGAGGCCGCAGGCAGCAGGGCCAGTGACCAGTGAGCTACGCATTGCTGGTGACATATTTGTCTCCAACATCCCTCAGCTCCTCCTAGAAAGACCCCCAGGTTGATCAGTGACCAAAGTGTGACAACTTTGATCACTGGCTCCATGGAGTGTTGGTGGCCCCATGGCCCCAGAGTGACAGTGAAAAACTAGAGATAGGAGTTGTGCAGGAAGACAGGGACAGCTTGTGGAGAGAGGATGTGGGGGCCATAGCATGGGGGACAGGCAGGGCAGGGCGCTTGGCTTGGCTGCCTCGGCTCCCACCCCGTCTCTCGCCATTCTGCCTTCTCGCTGGCCCAGCAGGGCCGTTGTCCGGGACTCTGGAGGGTCCGTGATTGGGCCTGCCATCCCCCGTGGGGATTCTGGGAAGTTTTGCGCTCGGCACTTCCTGTGGGAACGCTGGGCGAAGGGCACTGTAGTCTGCTCGGGGCGCCCTGCAGTAGCAAAGGGGTGAGGTATTTTTAACTCTGGGGACTTGGGTTCCGGCCAAAAAATGTGACCAAAGTGCTCTTCTCCATGCTGGGGGTAAGGGGGTGGCAGAGTATCCCACCACGGCATGAGCCCCCAGCCCATCCCTGCGTCTGCCCAGAGCTGGGACCCCTGGCTGGCTGGAGGCTGGGGGGCTCCGTCCTGCCTGCAGTGGTAGGGTGGGTCTGATGCAGACTCATCCTACAGATGAGGATGGGGCTGAGCTGGAGCTGAACGTGACGGGAGGCGAGCTGGAGCACCTGCCACGTGGCCGAAGGAGCCTAGGTAAGGCTGTGGGAGGGGCCTGCAGGGACATGCCCACTCCTTGCCCCGCTGAGTACTTGCCACTAAAGTCTTCTAAATGTGATGCGTGTAAGCCTGTCCCTACCCCACCCCACTCTTGCCAGTGGGAGCTAGATACTGTTAGCCCCATTTTACATAGTAGGAAATTCCGGCCCAGAGAAGGTTAAGGTGTAAGCAAGATTACGCCACTGGTGAGCCACAGCTGGCTCTTCCCGTACAAACCCAGTGTCCCTGCTGGGCTGTAGGGACCCACACATGCCTCCCCCACCCCGCCTCTGTGCCCATTGCAGCCCCCAGGGCACCTGTAGCCAAGGGCTGGGGCTCCTCTATCCTTCTGTGAGCTGGGTGGGTTCAGGTGGTACCTGGCCTCAGTTGCTCTATTTGTGCACAAGGGCCCTGCTGTGTGGCCGGTGCTTGCTGGGGGTGGTTGGGCCCCAGTGACTTTTCTCCTGAAATCCACTGGGGAGACATGGCCACTGATCCTACGTTATAGATAATGTGGAAAGAAGCAAGAGGGGTGACAAGTGTATCAGGGTGGGGACCCCACATACCACGTCGGGGGTCTCAGCAGGAGATGCTGTGTGCCACACACCACATGTCCAGGATTCTTTCCCTATCCTCACTGTGGTTCTTGGATGTGGAGTTCATTGTCCCATTTTACAGAATAGCCCAGTGAGGCTGAGTGCAAGGTCTCAGGAGGGTGGGAACAGGGCCCCCATTCACTCCCTGCCAGCTTCTGACTGCGACTCCTCTCCCTGCAGGCCCCTCAACCACCACCACTGCTGCCGAACCAGCCGTGATTGCCGAGTGCAAGACGCGCATCGAGGTGTTCGAGATCTCCCGACGCCTCATTGACCGCACCAACGCCAACTTCCTGGTGTGGCCGCCCTGCGTGGAGGTGCAGCGGTGCTCCGGCTGCTGCAACAACCACCGCGTGCAGTGCCGGCCCACCCAGGTGCAACTGCGGCACGTCCAGGTATGCAGGCGCTCACAGTTCCCAGGGTGCGCAGCTGGCGGGTCAAGAGGCAGCCTCCAGCCTGGTCAGGGGAGGATGGGAGTTGGGACTCAGGCTGCTCTGTGCTTCTGCAGGGTAGCCCTGGTCCACAGGGACACAAGCAGGGCTAAAATCCCCATGGGTCCTTGGGAGAGGCAGGTGCACAGTACTGACTAGGATCTGAAACATGGAGGACAGCTGAGCAGGTTCTCCCAGCGCTGTCTGTTCCCTTCTGCCATCTTCCCATTCAGGTGGACTGGCTTCTGCCTGTCTTGGCCAGCCCTGCCCATCTGCCTGCTGCTGGACACACCTCCAGCCCCGCCCTTGCCCTAGTCCAGCTCCCACCCCAGCAACTACCACAGATCCTTTATCTTCCCCTCTAGCCTCAGTGTCTCCGCCCACGCTGACACCTGCCAGCCAGCCACCCCTCCTTCTTCCCGCCCCCTTCTCACCACTTCCCTTCAGGCCGTCATCTGCCTCCTCTGTGGCAGCCCTTGACCTTGGCTGGCGCTCCAGGAATGAGAACTCCACACACCACCACCACCCCCATTCCCCCAGCTCGACCCGGAAATGCCTTTCTCCCTCTCTGGGGGCAGGGGCTGGGGTGAGGCCGGAGGCCAGGTTGGAAGGCTTGTTTTGATGGAAAAGTGTTGGGAAGGGCGGAGGGCAAGGTCCTGCTATTGTCCCGGCCTCCTGGTGTTGGCCTGCGGGCAGCCCCACGGGCTTTCGAGGAATGTTGGAGTGAGTGAAAGAGAGAGAGAGGAGCGAGCTGGAGGCTGTGTGAGCCTCTGCACAGGTGTGCTATTCCCCAGGTGCGAAAGATTGAGATCGTGCGGAAGAAGCCCCTCTTCAAGAAGGTCACAGTGACCCTGGAAGACCACCTGGCCTGCAAGTGTGAGATAGTGGCCTCCCTCCGCTCCACGACCCGCGGCCCCGGGGCTTCCCAGGAGCAGCGAGGTAAGCGCCATTCCCTGCACCTCTTCTGCCCCATCTGGTGCCCTGGGTATGGGAATCGTAGCCACTGACTGGCCCTGGGAACCTGGCTGCTGACCCAGCTGCACTGGCCTCCTCCAGGGGCAGTACTGAGATTCCCGTCAGAGAGGTGTGCAAGCAAAGACCAGACAGTGGACACAGGTGCAGGAGTGGGACTGGAGTGAGAGCGAGCTAAAGGAAACTGAGGACAGTCTGGACCCTGTCTCCCTGACAACTGGGTATCCTCCTGGCCTCTCCATCTTGCTTGCTCAGTGTCACTGGGTGCCCGGAGGAGGTGGACGCATGGTGCAGGATTAGAGCTGGCATGAAGAAGGACTTCTCTGGGGGCAGAATTGAGCTTGCCTCCAGGTTTAGGATGGGGCTCGTCTCTGTGTGTTTCCCTGAGTCCAGCTTCTCCAGAGGCATTGCATGGAGATAGGAGTTTGGTTTAAGATGGAGAACTGCAGGCCAGTGTCTAGCCTGGTGCCCACCTGCCTCCCAGCTTGGGTCCCTGGGTAGGATCCGGGCCTGACTGTTGACTCGCTGTCCTGCGCTGCACTCTGTGTGAGGCGGTAGGTGGTGACGCCAGTGCCTGGATCCCTGCCACCCAGGGCAGACCTGTGTCGTGCCCCCTGAATGCAGTGGGCACTGGTAGCTTCTGTTCTTGCACTGTGGAGACGTGGTGCCGAGAGCTGTGTGGTGTGGCTCTGTTGTCAGCCCTCCTGCACTCCTAGCTTAGCCCCATCGCTTGGGAACCTTGGCCCATTAGGTAGCCCTGCCCAGCATCCTGGCCCTGAGACCCACTGAGGCACTGCTGGGGGAGGTGGGGGGTGGCGGATGGGGAACTGCCCCATGGGAGCCTGGGATAGCCCTCTGGGTTGGAGGAGGAGGAGCTGCCCTGTTACTTCCATGATTGGAAACACTGAGGCACCAGCCATGCCCGGGTGGTCCCTAAGGCACGACCAGCTGTGTGGCCCCAGATGCCCATCCTGCTGTTCAGGCCAGGAGCCCTCCCAAGGCAGGGCTGGGGATGTGCAGGCAGCTCCCATAACAGGTTGCATGTCCCCTGCTCACGGCTCTTCCCATCTCGCACAGCCAAAACACCGCAGACCCGGGTGACCATCCGAACGGTGCGCGTCCGCCGGCCGCCCAAGGGGAAGCACCGTAAGTTCAAGCACACGCCCGACAAGAAGGAGCTGAAGGAGACCCTTGGGGCCTAGGGGCGTTGGCTGGAGAGTGTGGGCAGGTAAGGTCCAGGGCCGGCAGGGGCGGGACCTGGTGGTGAGGGGCGGGACCTGGTGCGAGGGGCGGGGCTTGGTGGGTAGTATCTTCCAGGCAAACCCTAGCTTCTCCCTGGTTCCTGTTCCCAACAGTTCTTCCAAGAGGCATGGGGGGCTCTGGAGACCCCAGATGTCCTGTGTGTGTGTGTGTGTGTGTGTGTGTGTGTGTGTATGGAAGAGTGGGCAGGTGTCTCAGCTCCTCCCAATTTGTGCAGATCAGGGACCCCTAGCAGAAGTGGGGTGTATCCTCTGAGCTGTGGCTGACCCCTGTATCCCTTTGCTTGACCTACAGGGTTATTTAATATGGTATTTGCTGTATTGCCCCCATGGGGTCCTTGGAGTGATAATGTCCCCCTCGTCCGTCTGTCTCGATGCCTGATTCGGACGGCCATGGTGCTTCTCCCACTCTCCACGCGATCGTCCACCCTCCCCAGCCGGTCCACTCTTGCAGCGGACGCTGCATCTTTCCCAGCAACCCGAGGAGGAGAAGGAGGCATCGGCAGCGGTGGAGGACTGAGCCACAGTGCGTGGCATTCCTGAACAGCAGGAACACGAGACACTGATGGGGCAACGGCATCCTGCCCCACCACAGGCCGGTCCCAGGACCTCTCCGCCAGGCCTGCTTGTCTCCCGGACCCCCTAGCCATCTCAGAGGGCCCCCTCAGGGCAGGTGTGGCTAAAGTGACAGACTGTAGGAGTCCCTGCTGCTGCCCCGTCTGGCAGCCCTGGCCTGCTGCACCCAGCACAGGGAGAAATCTTGGAAGACATGGACTCCTGCGTGGGCACAGCCAGAGCTCCCCACTGCCGGCTCCTGGCGGGTTGGAGAGGGAGTCTGCCCTTGGGGCGGACGCTGGCGGCATCCTAGACAGACCCCTCGCCTCCCCATGCCTCCCTCCCCGCTCCCTCATCTCCCTCCTCCTCCTGCTTCTGTTCACCGAGCGTCTTCCTCTGTTCCGGCCCTCCAGTGGCCTCTCCTCAGGGGCTCCGCCCAGGCTGTGAGGTGAAGTTGCACAGACATGGACCACACCTTCCGGCGTTTGCTAGGCCCACCTGGTCACCGCCAGATGCGGTTGAGGCAGCCTGATTCACGCAGGCATGCTGGGGAGTGGCCCTGCCCCTGGCACGGTCCGACCCACGGGGAGGGCCAAGGAGATCGCAGCCTTGTTCATCTCACTCATGGCACACGCCCCCTTCAAGAAGGTGTGAGAAACCCAGGAGGGCGTCTGGAGGAGGCAGCCCTTCTCATCTGCCCACGCCTGCTTGCATTCTCCCCCTCCTTACGTCGTTTCCAGCCCCTCCCCTCACTCTGGTATCTCCTCCCAGGAAAAGCGGGAGGGGGAGAGAAAAGGACCAGACCCTTGGGACCCCTAGGGGTGGGGTCTGTGTTCCCACCCCCTCCTGCCTCCCCATAGCACTTTGCCCCGCCCACTCCCCAATCTGCTTCCTTCAGTTTGTAAAGTCGGTGATTATATTTTTTGGGGGCCTTTCTTTTATTTTTTAAATGTAAAATTTATTTATATTCCATATTTAAAGTTGTAAAAAAAAATAACCACAAAACAAAACCAAGTGCTCTGGCCCCAAGTCTGTCTGTGGATGTCTTGCGGGACAGGATGACTCACCCGGGCCCCAGTACACACAGTATGCTCCACCTTCCCTCTTTGCACCTCACAGCGGCCATCGGCCACTGGGGTCCAGCCTTGGCCCAGCGCTGAACCAGTTGGACCAGCCGCTGCCTTGTGTGGCCAGAGACCCGCTAGCCTCCTGGCTCCAGCTTGACCCAAGATGGATGGCATTGGTGGCTAAGAAAGTGACCAACTGCATCCTGTGCCCAGCAGATGCGGGATCTGGCTTGTTTTGACAGTGGCTGAGCAGAGCCACTTCACCCAATCAGTGGGTGTGCGTAAGATGAAACCAAACCCATCCTGGGGCTCAGCCCTGCTTCAGTGCTGCACCCTGCCCTGCTCGACTCTTCCCCCAGAACCTAGCATGTGGATCCCCAGAGTCCCAGACAGACCCCTGGCTGGAAGGAAGGACAGCTGGCAGCCCAGAATTTGTGGCATCTTCACACTTCCCCAGCTGCCATCCTGGGCTGAGCACTGTGGGTGGACATATCCGGGTCTTAGTACTGCCAGGGTGAGAAGGCGTTCTTCCTGAACCCTCCGCCAGGCAGCAGGCAGCCTTTTCTGGATCTTTTGTCTCTGAACCATAATACAGACATGATACCTGGTGTCTACACAGCCATTTTGAAGCTTCTTCCAGCCTGAGGACTGAGGACCGTAGCAGCCAATCAGTCTTCTGGGTGGGTGGGGCTCACAGGTGCTGCTTCTAAGGAAAGACACCTGTCAGCTGCTTGTGAGGGATGGAGCAGATAAGAAAGGGGGAAGGGATGACGGAGGGACTCTTTTGAGATTGCCTGGCCTGGCCAGGGCTGACCCTACAGCCCACTGTGTGTTCCCACTGTGTCGCAGCATCAGCCCAGGGACCCCGGAGCCCCTGCAGCACCTGCCCACAAGCCTGGGCTCCTGTGATGCTCTGGGCTCCTGCTGGTCCCGCGGACAGGGCCATGCTGTGCCTTCAGCTGCCAGGCCAGAATCTGCATGCTCACAGTGTGGCCCCCACGGTTGGAGCCCGTCCCTCTGCTGTCCTCTGACTTGCTCTGCCAGGGACTCCACGTGGAGCTGTGTTGTGCACATCTGCATTCCAGGCACCAGCCTGGTGTCTGGTGCGTAGCCGACGCTCAGGAGAACTGTCAGGATGACGCACAGGCTCTGTTGCCCAGGAGTGGCTACGTCTGGCTGTGACGCGCTGGGCCAACGGCACTGATTGTGGAGAGACGTCACTTCCTGCTCACCCACTGCTGTTGTGCTTTGAGACCTGGAAGAACTGGGAGCCAGCCGTCATGTCTCCCAGCTCATTCTCTACCCACCCACTTATCTGTCTAGCCTCCTACCCATTAGCCTTCCTCCCCTACTTTTTTTTTTTAAAGATTTATTTATTTGTTGCAAAGTCAGATATACAGAGAGGAGGAGAGACAGAGGAAGATCTTCCGTCCGATGATTCACTCCCCAAGTGAGCGCAACGGCCGATGCTATGCCGACCCGGAGCCAGGATCCAGAAATTTCCTCCAGGTCTCCCACACGGGTGCAGGGTCCCCAGGCTTTGGGCCGTCCTCTGCTGCTTTCCCAGGCCACAAGCAGGGAGCTGGATGGGAAGCGGGGCTGCTGGGATTAGAACCGGCGCCCATATGGGATTCCCGGCGTATTCAAGGCAAGGACTTTAGCTGCTAGGCCACGCTGCCAGGCCCTCCCCTACTTTTTAAAAGATTTAATTATTTAGTTGGAAGATTGAGAGACAGGGGACATAGAGGCAGAAGTTTTTTTTTTTTAATACTTTTTAAAATTTATTTGAAGGAGTTAAAGAGAGCAAGAAACAGAGAGTTCTTCCATCCACTGATTCACTCCCCAAGTAGGCCACAAAAGCCAGAGCTGAGCTGATCCGAAGCCAGGAGCAGGGAGCTCCTTTCTGGTCTCCCACGCAGGTGCAGGGACCCAAGGCCTTGAGCTGTTGATTGTTTCCATCCAAGGAGCGTTAGTGGGAGCTGGAGGGGAGGCACAGTGGTAGCACACCTCTGAGGCACCTGGTGCCCCAGCAGGGAGGACACACGGGGTGTCCCAGCCTCCCTACCTTCACCCATGCACATCCCACACATGGCTTCAAGGTGAAGGACATGAGGGCCAACACTGAGACCCCCTAGGTGTGCACTTGGCATTCAGTTGCTACCCCCTCTAGCCCCATGCATTTGCCATCCACTCCTCCTCTCCCGCTGCCCGAGGTGGTACTGCCTGCTGGCTTGGCTGCCTTGATCTTGGACATGATAACAGCTTGGGGCTATGGGGTCCCTTGGACACTTGGCACACACAGTCTGGGGATGGTATCCTGGGCTCAGGCTCCGGGAGGCAAGTCTCTCATCTCCAGGGACAAGGTGGACCATGACAAGCTGGCTTTGTTTTTTGATTGGTTGTGGTTGGTTGGTGTTTTTTTTTTTTAAGATTTCCTTTTTATTTTTATTGCAAAGTCAGATATACAGAGAGAGGGAGAGACAGAGAGGAAGATCTTTCGTCCAATGATTCACTCCCTAAGTGACCACAACGACCAGTGCTGCACTGATCCGAAGCCAGGAGCCAGGAACTTCCTCTGGGTCTCCCACACAGGTGCAGGGTCCCAAGGCTTTTGGCTGTCCTCGACTGCTTTCCCAGGGCACAAGCAGGGAGCTGGATGGAAAATGGAGCAGCTGGGATACGAACCGACACCCATATGGGATCCTGGCACATGAAAGGCAGCAAATTAGCCACAGGACCATTATGCCAGGCCCAATCTCTGGCTTTGCCACAGAAAGGACACCAGGTGTGTGGGGGTGAAGTCCTTGAGAGGACCAGGAGGAGGGGCGAGAAAGCAGGTGCAAAGGCCTGGAGAAGAAGGTGCCTTCTGGGTGGGGCAGGGATGGACACGCTGTGTTCTGCATGGCTAGGGTGCGGGACGGAGCAAAGCCTTGAAGAGAAGGGCAGGGAGGTTGTGATGGTGGCAGGGGCCACGGGACTCTCATCATGGCCATCTCTGCACACCTATCCCGAGATGCCATCCCTGGGTGCTCCCCAAGTCACAGGTGATGTTCGCCAGCTGCTGTCGCAAAGCAGGGCTCTGCAGGTGGATTGTGCTGAGGGCAAGTGAACGTAGCTAGAAGCGGGAGGCAGGGCCACATCACAGGGTGGGGGTGGGCAGAAATAGGGTGGAGAATGAGAGTGAGGGGTCAGACAGAGGCTGCTCCTAGCCACACCTCCATCTCTCCCCGTGAACTGCCAGCTGCTTGAGGACCTGGTGTGTTATCACTGGTTCACTGAGCTTCCACTGTGTGTCTCTCTGTGCACAGCACCAAGAGCCTGTCTGAGCACACCTGCCCCAGGGAGTGGAACGGAGGAACCAGCACAGCATGCAGAGGATCAGCTGGGCTCCATCAGTGCACAGACTAGCCTGCCCCAGACAACACTGTGTCCTGACACTGGCTTCTTCGGGAGTCAGTGCAGCTGCGCCTGCGTGTGTGCGTCTTTGTGTGGGTGTGCCCGTGCGTGCGCGGCGGCCTCGGGGCGTGGCTGAGTGTCCCTTGCAACTTCATGTGTGTGCGGGTGTCATGCGGCATGTGGGAGCTCAGAGGCAGGCCTGCCCAGCTGTGACTAGGCACTTACCGAAGCGTGGGAGAAGTCTGCCCCGGACTCTGGGGTGGGGCACCCCAAGCCCTCCCAAGACCGTGGGAAGCAGGTCGGGGAGCAGCTGGCCCGGGCCTGGGCTTCCTGGGTGGCTGACAGCAGGAGCAGGCTGCCTCCCCGTGACGGATGTAGGAACGCGTCCACTAATCCAGGAGGAGAGTCTGCGGCGTCAGGGACCCCCGGGGCCACCTGTCAGGGGCCTGGGAAGCTTCCAGACCCAGAGATGACCCCCCATACACACACTGCCTGCCTCCACACCCCACCCCTTCCTCCCAGCTCACAGCTCACCAGGGCCCTTGGGGTAGGTGAGGAAAATGGGTTTCAGGGTCCAACAGACACCACATGGAGGGGCTTGGAGTGGAGGACAGGGCAAGGGAACAGGTGCCCATTTGTGTCCCCCCAGCAGCCTAGCCTGGGAGAACCTTGGGGCACCCTTTTTCTGAGTCCTGAGTTCCAGAACAGTCCATGAGAGCAAGGAATGACCCAATGGGGAAATTGAGGCAGGAGCTCATGGTTGTCCCAACCCATGGCTGAGCTCTCCCAGCCCGCCTGCCACTCTCCCTAGCCCTGTCACACTGCAGTCTGCAAGCTGGGTGTGGGGGATGGGGTACACATAGCAGACGCCCCCCTATACACACTGCTCCAAGGCCTCCTGGAAACAGTTTCTGCAGCCCCAGCGCCCCCATGACTCAAGTCCTGCCCTGTAAGCACTGCTGGCTCTCCCTGTCCCTATGGGGGTGTGGGAAGAGTCGAATGAGGCCTGGGTGAGTGGGGACTTGCACCTACACCCAGGGTGGGGCTGGGCCCAGCTGTGTTGGTGATTATTGGCTGTGATCAGAAAGGCCCCATAGGGATGGGGTGTCAGTGTAGTGGTATAGCGAGCTAATCCACCTGTGGTGCCGGCATCCCATATGGGCACTAGTTTGTGTGTCCTGGCTGATCTACTTGCCAGCCAGTTCTCTGCTAATGTGCCTGGGAAAGCAGCAGAAGATGCTCAAGGCCTTGGACCCCTATATGCATATGGGAGTTCTGGAAGACGCTTCCGGCTCCCATCTTGAGACCGAGCACAATTCTGGTATTTGTGACGATTTGGGAAGTGAACCAGCAGATAGAAGACTTCTCTTTTCTCCAACTCTAGCTTTGAAGTAATATAAATATTTAATATTAAGGTTTTTTTTTAAGATTTGTTTTATTGGAAAGGCAAATTTACAGAGAAGAGGAGATACAGAAAGATCTTCCATCCACTTTTTCACTCCCCAAGTGGCTGCGACAGCTGGAGCAGAGTCGATCTGAAGCCAGGAGCTTCTTCTGGGTCTCTCGCATGGGCGCAGAGTCTCAAAGCACTGGGCCGTCCCTGACTGC